ATTTCAAGTGCTTTTTCGTGGTATGAAAGCGCTTTCGAGTACTCTCCCATCTTGTCATACGCACTGCCGATATTGTTGTATGAAGTAGCCAATGAAGGATGATGTAGAGGAAGAGTTTTTTCAAAGATTTCAAGTGCTTTTTCGTGTGATGAAAGTGCTTTTGAGTTCTGTCCCATATTATCATACACGCTACCGATGTTGTTATATGAAGTAGCTAAATCAGGATGATTTGAAGGAACAGTTTTTTGTTGAATTTCAAGTGCTTTTTCGTAATATGAAAGCGCTTTCGAGTACTCTCCGTTGTTGTCATACACATTACCGATATTGCTGTATGAAGTAGCCAATGAAGGATGATTTGAAGGAATATGTTTTTGATAGATTTGAAGCCCTTGATCGTAATATGAAAGTGCTTGCGAATACTGCCCCATGCTGTTGTAAACACCACCGATGTTATTGTATGAAGTAGCCAAATCTGGATAATTTAAAGAAAGAGTTTTTTGTCGATTTTCAAGTCCTTGTTCGTAAAATAAAAGTGCTTTTGAGTAGTCTCCCATATTTTCATACACATTACCGATATTGTTATATGAGGTAGCCAATGAAGGATGGTTTGAAGGAAGATTTTTTTGTTGAATTTCCTGTCCTTGTTTGTAAAATGAAATGGCTTTTTCATAATCACCCTGCTTATTTTTGGCATATGCCAGGTTAAGATAACAAATCGCTTTTTCGCTCTCATCAGATGAGTGTTCGAGTAATACATTATAAAGTTCTTCAGCTTTATTAAGTTGACCGATTTTAAACAATAAAATGCCCAATCTGTACCATCCAGTATCACCACCAGCTTCTTCTCGTATCCGATCAGTAAGTAATCGTAATTGTTGATCATCATCCGAAGTTAATTTTAATTCAACTTGATAAAGTTGATTGTTAATGTCCATTACTTTAATGGCACCCACGCGAAAGACGGTGTGCATTGAGAAGAGGATTTCATCTTCTTCGTCAAAGTAACTCTTCTCTTTGATGAAGGCAAATGGCACTGATTTAACACGAGGATTAATACTGATTTCGAAAAGAATGCCGACCGTGTCCGCATTTTCCAACGCACTTAAAGCAAATCCAAGAGGTGTATCTTGTCCTGTACTAGTGGATAAAAAGTTGTTGAAAGACATTAAACTACCTTTTGTTTTTTGGAGTTTTTCAAAGTTTGCCTTGGATAGACCTTGTCCCCGATAGACTGTGAATGGTTTACTATGATCAGTATTACTCTGTTGTTGATGTAGTTCTTTAATTTGTAGATGAAGATCATGCATAAAAAAACCCATCTTAATAAGAGTATCACCTTCCATAAAGCGAAGACCACCGTTCAGCATAGAATAGATAAATGAGGGAAAAGTGTACCACCAAATTGCTGATTGAGTATGGTAATCGTTTTCAAACTGATCAATATTCGCTGGCGATCCTGTGTTATTCTGTCGGCAGTAAGTAGTAAACTCTTTAATGGCCTGTTTACCATGTTTCATATTAAGAAGAATTTCTTTAAATAGCTGAGTGTACATAAATGTTGGCTCCAACTGATTTAAATTACCAGCTGACTTCATGTCATTTGTTGTGATAAAACTCATGGCTATCGAGTCTTGATGGTATTGTTTGATACCCAGTTGTAATCCTTGGCATAAATCATCGATGTTGCTATGAGCGCTCTTGATTTTTCGCCATTTTTTTGTCAGTTTTTCATGACAGGATTTAATATTACTGAAGATATAAACACTATCCAGCTGAGGAATATCATTGATAAGGGGCATTATTTGCTGAGACATAGTATCCTTGACAATGAGAAAAAACTTAATGTCTTGGGCATCACTAAGGAAGTCAATACATTCATCTCGTTGATTAAAGACATTGACATTGTCGGCGATGGTTTGTATTTGTATCATACTATTTTCATAGTCTTTGTTTGTTTGATCCATGCATTCATCCAGCCAGAGAAGTGAATAATTTCGAACCATTCGTCGTCTTAGTTGAATATCATCAGATGATATTATTGTTGCACTATTGTTCCTTATGAACGGATTTGATGGTAAAGAAGGTTTTTGACTAGATTCTGATTCACTCATTTTGTCTTTTATATATTTTGGTGTTGAATATAAGCTTGTCAATAATTGTTGTTGTTTAAATGGGAAGAAAATTCACTGTTCTTATTTATAATGGCAATGGGATATTTTTTCTGTTTTTTTCTTCAGTATGCAAAACGTATGTATTTTTTTGTCAAGATTCAAAGAGAAAATTCAATTAGGCACCTTTCAAAATTCTGTTGTGAAGAGTAAGAAACAGAACAAGGCAAATAACTTTCTTAACAACGTTCGCAACAAAACAAACAAATCAGAAACCAACGAAATCATTTCGTTTTATAGTTATCCTTTCCAACTTTCTCTTGCTTTCATCTGCGCAACTAGTTTAATAAGCCGATGTGCGTGCGGCACTTTGTTATTTAAATGGAAGAGAAAAAGAAACATGATTCATTCAACGAATATTGCTTCTCTTCGTCATACATCGTTTTTTTGTTAACCGAATGCAAGAAATTTATTAGAACAAAAGGATAGAAGCCAAGACATTTCAAAATTTTGTGAGTTCAATATGTTACAGATCTCCTATCAGTAAACGAGAGATACCTACTAATTTAAGAATATTGTCAGAACTTTGTTGTTTTCTGTTCGAAAAAGAAAAGTATTTCGTATGAATATCTTTAAAAGACTTGTACTGTAAATAGTTTTTAAAAATCACAGAACTGTTAGATCTAATGATATTACAAAACTTCGTTTTTCATAAGTGATAACGCAATATGTCATCTATCTAATTTACTAATTCAAGATTTATAATTGAAGCACAGAATACTATTTTTGTACGGAAAAGAAATTATCGCACATTCATAATGGTAAAAATGACCAATTATAAACGTATTATCATGCATTATCGGTTTTGTCGCATTTTTGATAGATGTGAGTGAATATTGATAAGACGGATACCTACACCCTTACCCGCACTCACCCTACACCCACATAATTTTGCTAGAATTTACCATTTTTTTTGTTGTAACCATTTTCGATCATTTATTATCAATGAAAAAAAGAATAAAAAGAAATATGCTCTAATTAAACAATTTCTAATGGATCTTTATCACGTTCTGATATCAATAATTTCACTTGATTTTCATTCCATATTTGTTCGAAATGCTTTTTAATAATATTTAAAAATCCTCTTTCTGTATTTGTATGATCACATAAAATAACTGTTGTACCACGATGTATAGCATCTAATACAGCATGATGTGAAAGTTCACCAGTTAATTGAAGATCAACATTTCGGGCACCAGCAAATACACTTGAACCTGAACCAGCACAAACTGCTATTGTTTTTATAGGAGAATCTATTGTTTTATTATTAGCTAGTGCGAGACGAATATGTTTCAAACCAGTTAATGTTTTAACATTTTCAATAGCTTCACGAATTGTTCGAGATTCTTTTAGTTGAATTAAACGTCCATATCCTTGACGAGAATCTAATGGCTAAAAAAAGAAAATAAAATCCTATAAAGAATTTTAATTTCATTTCATTACTTTTTGAACATCAACAATTTGAATTGTTTTAAGAATATTATCTTCATTACGATATAAGTCCATTATTGAACTTACAGCTCGTGATGAACATGAGATCGATACTTGAATTGCTGGACCATTTGATGTAGTACAACTAACAAAATAAAACTTTAATTTTAATATACAAAAAAAACAGGATAAATTTACGATATTTCATTGATGACAGTAGCATCTTTAATATCTTTAATTAGATTAATATTTTGTTCTTTTGGCAGAGTTACTGTTAGTAAATGTTGACTTTTTGATGGTGTATCATTTTCTTTGACCTGTTCAATTGGACGTGATGTATAATCTTGTTCATCTTTGAAGAAAAAAAACAACAAGTTTATGTAATATACACATTCTTTACTTCTATCTGTTTTATAAAGATAAGCTTTCTAGAATTACGAAGATAACATCCCAGAGTTTATATCAATTCTTTACTTGTTCCAAATGCTGATATAAGCCATTGATTAACACCATTATCAACTGCATCCCATGATGTATGAGGTGAATAAACTGTAATTCCATGTTTTATACATTTAAGTATAATTCTTTCTTTCCAATTACTTTGTGTTAAACGTTTTAAAGGACTAAAAATAGGTGGATGATAACTAATAATTAATTGTGCTTGTCGTTCAATAGCTTCATCTAATACTGGTTCTGTTAAATCATTTGTAAATAAAATTTTTTCGATAATTGGATTATCTTCACTAGGTTCAACAAGAACTCCAACATTATCCCATGATTGATCAGCAAGATAAAGTGGTGCATATTCTTTAAATTGTGAAAGAATAGTATTTAATTGTATTCCTGACATCGTTGTTAAATTTCGAATTAATTGTTGTGATTTATTTAATCGAAAAACTGAAAACATACAAAATAATCTAGAAGAAAACAAAAAACAGTTTTTTTATATATTAGAAAGAATTTTGTTGTGAATGAGAATCATCTTCATAATCATGATCATGTAAAAAACTCTCATGTTTATGATTATGTTTTATTGATTGTTTAGGTGATGATAATGATTTGATTTGTAATGTTATACCAGCTTGACTAAATGCATCTTTTGTTTTGGATGAAAGATGTCGAATATATTTCGATGAATAATTACGCATCAGTTTTGTAAATTCATCTAATCGATTGATTTTTTCATAGGCTTTAAATAAACTATAAAATAATGTATCAATTGATAAATGTCGAGTTATTGATGGATATTGTTCAATATAATCAATAAAATTAACAAGTGATATTGTATTCGTATCAAATACATGATTACTTTCATAAATATCATTTGTTATGAGATTATTTGAAGATATAGTTTCATCATCATTATTTTGTATATCAGTTGGAATAAAGAATAATTCACGAACATATCTTTGACAATGTTCTTCGAATGTTGCACGACTTATATGTTGACAAACTTTAACTGCTTCGGACAAACGACGTTCATGAATTAAAGCAAATGCTAATTGTTCATATGCATATGTACGAGAACGAATTTTACCAATTTTAATCAATACTTGTTTAAGTTCTTCTGTACAATCATCTCGAAGTAATTTTCTTATAATTGGAAACATTCCAACAAGATTATTCCATTGTACAAGAATATTTTTTATTGTTTCAAATGCTTGTAAGGGTCCATTATCTTGATAGGATTTACGTACAATTAATGAAAGGACAGTTGATGATGGATCAACATAATTATTTTTTAATAATTTATTAACAAGATTTTGGAATTGGTCAAAATTAAGTAATATATATGCATCTAATAATAAATCTCGTATACGACGATACATATAATTTGGTACAACATCATATTGTCCTAATGAATCTATTAATTCAATTGCTTTATCAAATGAATTTTTACGTATAAGTAAACGTATAACACTAACACATTTATGTGGATCTAATTTAAATTTACGATCAATTTCATTTGATAAATTTATATAGAATAGAACTTTATCAAGATTAAGTTCAACTCTTGAATCTTGAGAAAAAAAACAAATAGAAAAAAATTAAATAAGGGTTTTTTTACTTACAATAATCAATTAATATAGCAATAACACCTAATGATGGAAAACCTGATGTTTGTTTTTTATCAAAATAAATTGTTTCTAATTCAGCTACACGTTTTTTATAAGATTCTTGAACTGGTGTTGCCGTTGTACGTTCACTATCCAAACATTCCGTACAATATTTTGTTAATAATTTACTTATTATTCCACTTATATTCATATTTTTACGTTTTAATTCGACTAAATGATCTTCTAATTCGTCTATTGTAAAATTTCGTAGAGTTTTTGTTGTTTTTATATAAACATCACTACTATCATCGAATGATAACGGATCATTCAATAAAGAAGATGATTGAGTTGAAGTACCAGTTCCTTGATCTTGTTTGAAAGATTTGATTAATTGATCATTTACTTCATGTACTGATGTTATACCTTTTAAATATAAAGAATTCTTTATTTACTATGCTATTTTTAAGTTATTCACAAAAAAATGAAAGGAGAGATAGTCGGTGATATCAAGTAATCCGAAGTAGGAAAAAATCCGGAAAAGAAATAAACCACCTCGAAAGGTTTTGTGGTATGGATGTGAGTGTTTGTGTACAAGAAAAGTAGTTCATACCTATGCATCCACACTTACACTCGCCCTCACCCACATTATAAACACACACTGAGCATCCGCTGCTACAACGACGACATCGATCGTGCCACGCTTCTTGGTGGACTCTTACTACTGGTGGCTTCGAAGAAATAAGCTTATCAGATTCTGCCTAATATGTCCACGCATTTTACTTATTGTGTCTTCTATGATTAAGAAACTTCAAGTAAAAATTTTCTGGATTACTTCACCCTATCTCTTACTACACTTCATTTAGTTTATTATATTACCTAATTGTTTATAAATTTTTTCTTTTGTTTCATTCGTTAATATAATTGTTTGTGAATGTTGTTTAAAAAGATTTAAAACTTTCTTTAATAAATCAACACTTTGTTTTTGTTCTTTGTCTAGAAACCAATCCATAATATTAATTATAACACAATCATTTAATGCAATAATATCATTTGGATTTTTAACAAAACGTTTATTAATAACATCAAGAAAATTAATAATGATTTTTAAATGATTAAATATTTCATCAGAATTTGTTGTATTATAATCAATACTTAATTGATTAATTAATGATTGCATTGCTTGAATTGTTTGTTCACGTATAATTGATGTATATTCAAAACGTATAGTTTTATTTGTATTAATAAATTTTTGTAAAGAATTTAATAGTTCAATATTTATTCGTTTTAATGACGATAGATAAAGATTTGACCAATAATGATTTAAATTTATTTTAACATTTTTAAATAATAAAGCAATATCTAATGGTTTAAGATGGCATTGATCAAAAAGATGTCCAATTAATATATCAATAATTTCATTATCATATTTAATTGAAAAATTTTCTTGTAAATAATTAAGAAGTTTATGAGTTTGATTAGTGATTTCTTTTGAATTATTCATATATATACGTGGAAGTTTAGCTAATATTGGACGTATATAATGTGCACGAAATTCATAATTTTGTTGACGCATTGTATCATAAGTTGCATAGATATATGGTAGAGGTAAATTATTTTGATAAGCATGATATAATAATTGATGAATTGCAAGCCAACGATCTTTTTTATCAACGAAGTTTTCTGTTCGTTTGAGTATAGATTGTCGAAAATGATTAAGTTGTTTATCAGTAACAAGTTCACGTGTACATTGATAATCGATCGAAGCTAAAAATTAAATGAATTAATTTAAAGAAATAATAAAGCTCTTACATTCTAGATTTTGATTCATATCATCTATTGTTGATGTTGAAAATGGACGAAAATGATGTGATGGTAGACGAAGTTTTAACAGATTTAATAGAGTTAAATTAATAACATCAAAACGAAGAGTTTCATCACGTTTTGGAAATGATTCAACTAGGAGAAAAGCATAATCATCTAGATTACCATTTAATAATTCAGTTGCACAGAGAATATATTGAATCTATAGAATAAAACAAAAAAAAATGAAATTATTGGAAGAATTCGAAATTTGCTTCTATTCATAGACAAAGTCAAAGGATTACACAGAAGTCTCGATTGGCTAATTCCTTTTTGTCCTCGTTTTTTTCCGAACATCGTCCAGGTGTCCGCAACGAAAAATACACGATGCTCGGAACATAAAATGACGGCGGGTGTGGGTGCGGGTGCATCGTCTTCTGTATCATTGACACCCACACCCACACCCTCAAGATATTCGATTAGATTTTTATTACTTACACAAATATCAGCTAAACTATTTTTATCAATTGAATTAATAACAAGTTCAAATAAATCTTTTTGTTTACATTCAGCACAAATAACAATTAAACGAAATAATGATTCATTATCCATTTTAGATACATTTTCAACAAAATATTTTTTTGCTTGATTAATTTGTTTTTGTTTTAAATAGCCTATAATAAATTGTTCATAAGTTTCTGATATTGGTTTTAATTCTAATTCATTGAAGAGTTTATATAAATTTTCTACACGTTCTATATCTCCTTTTCTTGCATAGGAATTTAATAAATGTGTTAATATTAATGGTTCTATATTATAATTAGCTAATTTCATTTCATTTAAAATTTTTTGTATATCATCGGATTGACCTTGTCTTGCATAACATTCAATAAATAATCTAAATGATGTTAAATTTGGTGATATATGAATTTTTTTCATTGTTTCTAATATTTTCATTGGATCAAAAAATGAATTATTTTGAAGTGACACACGCATATATGAATTATAATGTGTTACATCAAATGTAACATTTTTTTGTTTAAATATACTCATCATATGATCAAGTACTTGTTGTCTTTGATGTGGTAATTCAGTTATAAGTAATGAACCAGTACAACGAATAAGAAGAAGTGCTTGTGTAGAATTAATTGTATTTAGTTCTAACGCAGCTTTTCTTATAGCACCACGTACAAGTCCAGGATTAAGTCGACCACGACGATGAGCTTCACCATCAAGTCTTTCAAGTAGTTGATCAAGATCAAGACGTGTTGGTTGTGATGAATGAATTCGTTGCATAGAATTATTCGTTGCTAGACAAGCTGAGTGAATTTGAAAAAATGATGGACGACGAAGAAAAGTTGAAAGACGTAAAGCGAACATTCTAAAATGACCAAAAAAAAAAAAGAGAAATATACATCTTTATTTTGAAAAACAAAATAACATTTTTATTTATTTCGTAATTTTAAAGCAAATTTAGCTCCTAAAAGAAAATGATCAGAAGCGAATTGATGATTTGGCATATGAATATCAATCATATGATTTTGTTTATATAAATCAAAACGACTCAATAAATTCAATCGATAGGGATCATCGTCCGGTTGAGTATAAAATATAAAATCAACTAATTTTGATTCATCTCCAGAATTTGTTGTTACATCTGAACAATCCTTTGCATCATATACTGACGTAAATTGTTTATTATGTGTTAAAATAGTTGATGATTGTTGTTCTGAACGTGTATGAAAAGATACGTTCGAATTTTCTGTTGGAATACGACAATCCGAAGTAACAAATGTTAATGGAAGTAGTTCACGAGATGGTAATGGATAGGAAAAACGATTCTTCATCGATGAATCTGGTGTTTGACCTGAAATTTCAATACAACGATACGTATCATATTTAATATATCTATTCAATATAAATTCAATTAATGGAGATTGTGGTTGAGCATTGAAATCACCACATAAAATTATTGGATAATAAGAATTTATATCCGTATGATTTGTCGCTAAACGATCAATTTCAGCAAGAAAATATTGCGTTTGTGCTAATTTAATATCACCACGTTTAGGTGAAAAAAGTAAATGTGTTGTTGCTACACAAAATAGATCGTCTGCTGTAGCATTAGGAGATAGCGGTTGAAAAAGGGCAATTAAACCACAATTATCTCTGAAATTAATAGAAAATCAATTGCTATGTTGCAATATCAAATTTACTTGTCGAGAATTCGAATATCTTTTTGATAAAATGATACTGTTTTACTCTGAATAAGTTTTAAACGATTTATTCTATAGAATAAACAACAACCATCATATTTATCACCGGTTCGTTTCACATAAATCGAATCATAACCTTAAAAGACATATTATTATTGAACAATAGAAATTTTAACAGACCTTGTTGTTTGAGAATTGGTTGAAATTCATTCTCATAATGATCCTTTTGCATTTCTTGTAAACATAAAATCTAAAAAGAAAAGAAAAGAAATATATTGAATTATGTTTAAACTTAATTTACATCAGCATCTTGTCGTAATAATTCTCTTAATAATCGATCTTTTCTTCGATACCATTTAAGATTATTTTTGAAACAATGTTGATATAAAAATGAATTATCTTCTAATAAGGTTTGTGCAAGAATATTATAACAAACAATATGAAATTTAAAATGTTGATGATGATCTTTACGAAAATATTCTTGATAGATTGTATTAGACCAGATTCGATGTGGTAAATGTTTTTCAACTAGAAAACTTCAAATTAAAAAGATTTTATTTTTAAGAAAAATTTACGATGATGATGATGAGGAATCGATGGTTGTCTATATGATCCTTCTGTTGGTTTAGGATATGAATGTTGTTGAAATGATGGAACAAGCAATGGAAGAGGTGATGTTTGATCTATCTCATTGTCATTTTGATGATGTAAATCAGGAGTTTGGTACATATTCGATTGCGGTAGTGTATTTTGATAATATGATCGAGGTCGACGCATATTATAATTAGACATGAATAAATTGATTTTGATATTTAAATATCTTTCGGAGAAAATTCTACATCATTCGCAACTAAAATTATCCGATTGGTTGTAAAGAATGACTAATCATAGGTTTTTATTCTATCCTTTATCTATAAAACTTCGTTTAATTTCGAAGAATGTATGTCAACAGGAGAGAGAGAAAACATTTTATTTTTTCTATGTATAATTTAGAAATCTAGATTTCTGATTGATCTTTTTAGATAAACTTATATTTTAAATATGAATTTATCAAGAAATTTTGGAAGTAATAATAACAATCAACAAATGGATATTCAAAATACTGTTAGTAGTAGTGGAGATACAAATAATAATCTTTCCATACAAAATCCTAATGAAAATTCTACAACATCAGCTTATGAAGGAAATTATCAAGTTAATATATCATCAACTAATTTTGAACTTGAAACAATAACATTATCATATACTGGTCTTATGCGTATTTATCGTTTATTATATGTCGCTGATCATTGTTCATCATTACGACATGAAGCACTTTTATCAAGTCTTAAATATATTCAAGAAACACATTTTACTTCACTTTATAAACAAGTAAAAACAAAAACATTTCTTTCTTATTTAACAATTTTTTTTCGTTTTTTGAAATAAAAAGGTTTTTGATGAATTAAAAAAACAAAATATACCATTACCAAATGATTTTGATTCATCATGGTATGAAAAAACACAACGTAATTATATACAAAAATTAGAAAAACTTGATACTGATTTAAGAAATTTTCGTACAAATGCTATTAAAGATTCTATACGTCGTGGTCATGATGATCTTGGTGATCATTATTTAGATGGTGGAGATTTTTTTAATGCTATTCGTTGTTATGTACGTTCAAGAGATTATTGTGTTACACCAAGACATATGATAACAATGTGTATGAATGTTATAAAAGCATCATTTTATATGCAAAATTGGTCAAATGTTTTATCTTATGTTAGTAAAGCTGAACAAGCTATTGAAAGTCTTGAATCAACAAATAAATCAGGAACAACACCAGCAGCAACAACAACATCATTGGCTAATCCAATGGATGTTTCAACATCAAATGCTATGATTACATCTGATGCAATCTTAGCTTCACGTTTAAAAGTTTATGCTGGTATTGCTGAATTAGCTACAAAACGATATAAATTAGCTGCACGACATTTTCTTGGTGTTACATTTGATCATTGTTCAAATCATTTTCAAGATCTTATTTCACCACAAACTCTTATTCAATATGTTTGTTTATGTAGTTTAGCAACATTTGAACGATCTGAATTACATCGTCTAGTAATAATGTCTCCAAATATGAAACAATATCTTGAATTAGAACCATCAATTCGTGATATACTTCTAAAATTTTATGAAACATCTTATTCGTCATGTCTTGGATTAATGTCACATTTAGAACCAATTTTAGCATTAGATCAATATTTAGCACCACATTTACGTGCATTATATTATGAAATTCGTCATCGAATAATTATAACATATTTTTTACCATATAAAAATGCAAGTATGACAACGATGGCAAATCAATTGAATACAACAACTGATGTACTTGAAGATGAACTTGTTAATTTAATACGATCAGGAAAAATCAAAGCACGTATTGATTCAAAAAATAAAATTTTATATGTTGCCGATACAGATCAACGTTGGTATGCATATCAACATGCTTTAACAATAACAAAGCAATCGGAAAAAATAACACGTGCACTTTTACTTCGTTCAGCTATAATAAAAGCAAATTTAATTGTTAAAGATGATTCAATATCATCATCATCATCAACTCGTTCACCAAATAATAATAATAATATGAATATTAATCGTCGACATTTTATTCCAAATCTTCCAGGAAATATGATGATGGATGAAGGAGATTTATCTGATGATGCAGCTATGAATTAATTCCAAAATTTTTAATGCACTAAATGGAAGTACGAACACTTATTGTGATTTATTCTAGAACAAATTTTCTTTTGTATTTAATAAAAAAAAACACAACGAACAAAGTACTCATTGATTTTATTTCATTACAAAATAAAGAGCAGCTTTTATCTGATTACAAAGTGTTATACAGTCGCAATAAATTTGCCCATTTATATCTCAGAAAGTGAATGAACTGAAGTTTCAGTATACTACGGTATTAGCAAAACACTAGCTTGCGATGAAAAGCTTCAAATTTCGAAGAATTGATAATTTAGAAAAACGAACTGTCGTCTCTGAGAATGAGCATAGAGTAAGTCTCCATGAAAAAACGTATTTTGCAATCTATTGAAACTTGTAATCTGTCATTATCCATCTATATGAGAAAGATGATGACAAATTGTCAAAAAATACATTGTTATGTGGCTTTATGTAAGTAAACGAATAGTATTGGTTTTAAGCGAGTTAACAGCCATTTATCGTTTTTTAGATCATCATGACCTAGCGGATCATATGATTTCTAACTAATTCATCAGTAGCTAATTTATTATTGAATTCTTCTTTAGAAACAATAAGTGAGTGTTACCAATATTAGTCAAATCGTGTCGATATTTTCACGTTGTAATTATTAAAAAATAACAGATAGTTTCGACAAGTATTCGATCACTTTAATATCTGGATAATGCGTCAATATTTAAGCTAATAAACATGTTAGATATTTTATTTCTTATACATCCAATATGATTCTATCAGTGCATTCGCTTGTGTATCAATGATAATATTCTTTAAATGGAAAAGAAGACAATGTTTGACTTCATCTTTTGATGAACATGTTCTGATAATAATAATGAGAAAACAGATGATATATAATCAATGCTAAAAAGTGAAAAAAATAACAAAATTTTAATTGAATTTTGACAAGTAATACAATAGTGTCTAATCTGAAACTTGAACTCAACTAGTCAACCATTTACTTTTGCCTTCTTATATATAAATCTTCTCCTGAAATTTAGCTCGTAATATCGATCGGAAAATACATCTTGAATATTCACATAAGATGTAAACTTTACTAGACATACAGCAGTTCCAATCCTGACTGGTGCATATCAAAGGTTTTTGTGTAAAAAGTCGAGAAGAAAAAAACTTATTCAGAATTGTTAATATAAAAAATATCATTTGACTAAATCAACGGTTCATCAAGCCTAGAGTATCCTTTTTCTTTTTTTTTGTCGAACTTTGTAATGTATATGCCCAGATCATATCACAGTGTACTGCCAAAATATATTTTTCATTATTTCGGAGAATTAATTGAGTTCCATGATTTTGTATCGTATTTAGACAAACAAAGAAATTGTCAATATTTAAATCAACAGTATAAGTTGTTTTCTTTCATCGGTCCCATCGATTTTCATTTATCAGTATTTATATACTCTTGTTATTGTAGATCAAATTCAATGTTCAATATACTGAAAGTAACAAGAAACTGTTTTCCTAGTTATTGTTGTGTTTGTAATGAATACTTACTTATTTATTTCTTTTTCTGTAACATTTTGATTTTGAAAATATAATTAAAACTGTTACTTAATATGTTGTTAAGTGAAAGAGAAACGGCAATAGAGAGAGAAAGATTAGTTAAGAGCATCAATTGTGTGTTCTTAGTATTCGAACACATCACAATATTTTGCTGTTCATTCTGAAATCAGATTGAGACAATGGTAGATTTTAACAGACGATCATTTTGGAATTTTACATTAAAAGATATATTAAGTATTATATCTTCAGTTGCTATACCCATAGCTCTTGCTATTTATACTGCAATTGGGTCTCAACAACAAAAACAACAAGCTGAAAAAAAACAAAAGTTTGATTTTGAACAATCAACACAATTACGACAGCAAACACTTTATGATGAATTTTTAAATAATATTTATAACTTAGATAAAGATGGTTATCTCAACGATACAAAAAATCCATGGGCATTTGCAAATGCATATTATCGTGCTGCTCATCGTCAATGGGATCCAATACGTAAAGCAGATGTTATACAATTTTTTAAAGAAAAACAATTAATTGGTAGAAATAATTGTACTAATGGATGTAGAACAACGAATCTAGATGATATAATCCGTTTAAATGAGTTAAACTTTGATAATGTACATTTAGCAAGTGAAACTGGTGTATTAAATAAGTTGAATTTACAATGTGTTTCTTTTGATCAAGTATCAATGTCAAATGCGGAGTTTTCATTTGCTAGTTTAAATGGTGTATCATTTGATGGAGGCCGATTAGACAAGGTGAAATTTGATGGTTCATCTTTACTTTGTGCTAGTTTTAATGGCGTAAATCTGTCGGGTGCAGATTTCGGAAACTCAGATTTGACAGGTGCACACTTTTCAAACAGTGATTTGTCAGGAGCTAAAATAACGGAAGGTCAAATAAAACAGGCAACTTTTCATAATGTAACTATGCCAAATGGGGTGAAGAGTGAAACTACATCACCAACGACAACAAAAAAATCTATAACTCAAACAACAGCAATAATGAAAGCAAAAATGTCGACAACATCATTATCACCAACAACAAAAACAACAACGCCATCAACAACAACAACAACAACAACAACATCATCATCTACAATAGAATCAACAACATCATCATTCACAACAGAAGCAACACCATCATCATCAAGTGAAGCAACATCATCAATCGGTTAGTAATATGCTACACGAATTATAGTACCCTTTTAGTTGCTAATTGAGTAATTGTTGTTCAGTTTGAGAAACTATACTCTTAGAAGTTCCTGTTTTCTATTTGCTAAATATGTCTGATGAAGATGATAAGTAGGTTTTAGACAACATTTCTTTTTTGGATATTATTTTGAAAGTTACTCATATTATGTTTGTGGTATTGCTGAAACAAATTTATTTACTTTTATCTTTATGAGATAGGTTCATATAGAATTTTGAGCAGAATGAAGTCCAGAATCTTTAAAAGGAAAACTCAGCTCGAAAATACAGCAACTGGTGATAGGTCCACGAAATACAAAATTAATTCAGTTTTAACATCATATGTAGATGTTGACCTTTGTATGTTAGATTTAACTTTTCTTTAGATGCTAAAAGGACTAAAGGTATCAAAGAGACTACTATATTCTATAGAAAAGTAAAAGAGGACAAATTTTATTTCTCATGGACCCCTCTTGTTCAATTTAAACTTTTTATGTAAACCTGAGAAAAAATCAATTATTTCCATTTTTTACCAGGAGATATTCTAATATCTGTTCGTTTTAGTGAAGAGATTTTCCAGTGCACTCGAATAAATCGACCTATCATATGATTGGAAGATCTTCGTTGGATTCGCTAGATATTACTAAAATAGAATAAAAGTATGTTTTTAGCACGGTTCCATCGAAATTTTAGTCTTTTCTAATTGCTATGTTTAATGAAGATATAATTTAATGATTGTTGCAAAGTGTTAGCTCATATCAACATGTATTCGTCAAAATATGTTTAGAATGTCACATAATTGTTTTTGTATTGAAATGACATTGTAAAGAATCATATCACATGAAAAAACAAATGCAGAAGAGACAAATGTATTAACCGAATTCGGGATTAATAATTGTGCTTATATCGCAACAGATTAAAACGTCGTTCGTGACGATAAATAGAATCGAAAAAACGATGTAAGTAGCGGGATTGTAGAAGATAACAATTAATCGTAAACATAATCGAATAATTTTATTAGTTGATTGGTTTGCTTTCATTTGAACTGAACTGTTGCGCACTAAATAGAGTAAGACGGTGAAACACTACTTTTTGATGATAAGAACTGTAATCTAAATCTTTTTTTCTTGTTTACTAGCTTGTAATAGTACATTTCTTAATCAAACTACTTACCCAGTTGGTTCAGCACCATTTTCAGTAGCAGTAGCCGATGTGAACAATGACAATAAACCTGATATTGTTACTGCAAACAGCGGTTCAAACACCATCAGTGTTCTTCTTAATACAGGCAACGGCAATTTCTCTTCTGAAACTATTTACTCAGTTGGTGTGGATCCACGATCAGTAGGAGTAGCCGATATGAACAGCGACAATAAATCCGATATTGTCACTGCAAATTTCGGTTCAGAAACTATCAGTGTACTCCTTAACACAGGCAACGGCACTTTTTCTCCTCAAACTACATACCCAGTTAAAGAACCTTCACAACCAGTAGCAGTAGTCGATGTGAACAACGACAATAAACCCGATATTGTCCTCGGAGCCAATCATTGGCTCAGGGCCATCAGTGTTCTTCTCAACACAGGCAGTGGCACTTTTTCTCATGAAAATGTGTACAGTCTTGATAGAAATTCATTATCAGGAGCAGTAGCAATAGCAGTTGCCGATCTGAACAACGACAGCAAACCTGATACTGTCGCTGCAAATTTCGAATCAGGCGCCATTAGTGTTCTTCACAACGAAGGCAACGGCAGTTTTCTTTTTGATACTATTTACTCAGTTGGTATAGGTGCAGTGTCATTAGCAGTAGCCGATGTAAACAACGACAACCAACCTGATATTATTATCGCAAATAACGTTTCAAACACCGTCTGCGTTCTTCTCAACATAGGCAACGGCACTTTTTCTCGTCAAACTAATTACTCAGTTGGGCAAGGTCCAGTATCAGTAGCAGTAGCCGACCTGAACAACGACAATAAACCCGATATTGTCACTGCAAATACGAATTCGAACACCAGCAGTGTTCTTCTCAACACAGGCAACGGTACCTTTTCTCCTCAAACTAGTTACGCAGTTGGCGCAGCTCCAAAGTCAGTAGCAGTAGCCGATGTGAACAACGACAATAAACCCGATATTATTGTCGCAAACCTGAATGAAAACACTGTTACTGTTCTCCTACAGTCTTAAAATTTATTTCTTCATCATACTCAACAACCTTACTGACATTTCGGTACTCTACCAAAAGCATTATTCTACGATTAACCACTTAACAATATGGAGCGAATAACAATGTTCGTTCGACACCAAAACTTTCCCGTTATCAATCTTTCATTCAAACTAATTAATGTTTATACTTTCAGCTTCTTGTACTATGTTTTTGCTTGAATCAATGGAAATCAAATTGATCTTATCTTTTGACGAAAAGAGTAGTCTCAGTACATAAGTGAGGATGTGATTCGGTGTGGATATGAAGAATCACATCAGTATCCACACCTACAGTCACATCTACCCTCGTCAGGCTCCGTAGTACTGGAAACTGATGAGAAGTGCCGACTATTAACCGTCAATTGATTAGTTTACGAATTTAATCTCATTTTACGATTGCTTTTCATTATATGTCATTTATCACTAATAGATATATTCAATTAAACACTTCAGTTTTGATATATTGCTCATACATAAAATAGTCTTAAGAGAACCTCCTTAAGAAAGCCACACCCACACTCTATTTGTTATGAACGATAAAAGAGAATATTTTCCTCATAGAGAAGAATATGATATGGCATCATTAACTGACAGCACATATTAATAAGTGGATATTAAAAAAATTGATCAAAAAAGAATAACATGGTCACAAATGATCAAATACTTGTGATACTAAATAAAAAATATTAAGTTATTTATATGCTACATTGTCATATATACTAAACTAATCATAGAAATTAAATTTTGTTTTTTTTACAATGAGTATTGAGAATAATTTTCTTTCAGTTTTGATTCGTTTACAACTCTGTCATCGATCACAACACAATTTCTTTCGTTTGAAAAGGATGATAAAATGTAAATTCATCACGCTGAATCAGTTCGTAAAAGTATATGACGCATATGGAAAATCTCAAAACAAAATTCATGTATAATATAATGTACTTCCTTAACTCATTCTGTTTCTACTGTACAACGAATAAGTTTATTTATGTATGTGTCATGAAATATATTTTTTGAACAAAAGTTCGATGATATATTAAGAATTATTAGAAAAGAAGAAATTTATCGATTTATTCGTTTTTTGTATCTTACGTCTTAGTAAATAAGCATTACTTTCACTAGGATAATAAGACCAATTTAATTTATCTTTGGTTATATTTTTCAGAAATTAAATCAACATTTTTGATATTTACAAATTAAACTTGAATAATCATAACCATGATGAATATAAAGAAAGTACAATTTTTATTTATTTTTATTCCGATAATGAAATTGAAGATCTAAGAAACGAGTCTATTTTGATAAAATACAATCTCAAATAGATATTTTTCATGAAAAATTAAATATAATTGATATTTATGATGAGAGTCAGGGTCTGGCTGTTCGCAATGAATGAGAAGAGTATCCACATCCATCCTTTTAATATTAATCCTGATTAGAAAAATCAAGTCTAGATGTATAATGAAGTCGATTGAACAAGCAAAAGTTTTTACTTACTCTAAATCTCTTTTCATCAAATTTATTAAAAAGAATTACAGAAAAAAAGAACACACTTATGTATTTAAGACTTTAGTACTTAGTGAGTGTCAAAACTCAAAAGAATCTTCTTACATATAAAATCGAGATCATAAGAAAAATACTTGCAAAACCGATCAATAAACTTTTAAACGGTAATGGATTGTTTATAGAGCAAGTAACTGTTCTCATAATTATTATATTAATTTAAAATTTCCATCCTGTTGCTACTGCGGAAGTCATATTCACATGACTGATTTTAATTGCAACAATATTACACTGCACATGATCAGGATCAAAATCATCAACAGACCGAGCAACTAGATAATTATCTTCTTTTGCATGGCGTTTAATTAATAACTGAATGTAAACGAATTCTTTAAATTATTGAAACATAGAAATGTATGCAGGTTTTTTATAAGTAATTGACATTCATAGCATCTGTTTTACAAAAAGATTTTCTTATTAAATTTTCTGATCATCTGCTTCTTCATTATTGTTTCTTCTCTTCTTCTTTCAAAACTTTAGAAAAGAAAAGTTAACACAACCTACTAATGTTTTCAGAAGATAATCAATATACTTGCATTTATAATAAATGAGAAATACTACTTCAAATCTCTTCTCAAATTCAACGAAATCAATTCAAGAATCCTATATATGCATGCTTGATATGGATAAATTATGAATGAAATAATTAAGTTTAGATAATATTTTTTTCTTTTCTATAATAATTGATAAATACTTAGTTATTGCAACATACAATAAACATAGAATCTTTTGACTCAATATTATCGAAACATTTTTGTTATATGAAGTTAAAAAATATCTATTGTTGTTAATGAAATCTTGATCTAATTATTTGCATTACGATCTGAACTATCACATAATATCTTGTGAAACATTTGCATAAAGAACTTAACTATTTATACTTTGTGAAATTATCTGTAACATATACTTTCAGATTTTGAATAGCAATAGTAAAAATTTAATACACTTGTATAAACATAGATCTTCTTTGTATGTGACACCTGTGTTTATGTTTAATACTAAACGAAAAAAATATAATGTGCAATGATTAACTTATTGTATCATCTACCGTGCATAAAACTTTAAGAATAATGTAAAATAATTATTACTAAAGAGATTTCATGTAATACTGATTATTTATCTCAATTTAATAATCATATACTATCTACAGATTAAATCATCGGATCATAAAAAAGAACAAGGCAATCTTCATTTTGATAATATATGAAATTGTTAAGATATTTATTATGATGAGAATAGATAACAATTAACAATGTTAAAAGTATTAATTCAAATTACGCTGTAAAAATGTTATTATTTTTTTGTTGTTAATGGAATACATGAAAAATGAAATAAATGTATTCTAAAACGATTAGCTTGGTGGTAATTGTGGATAGATTGATTCCATAAATTCTATTAAAAAGAAAATTAACATTTATCTTTCTACACATAAAACCAATAAAATTATGAATATCTCAAAATTTATTTACCATTATAATCAATTTTTCCATCATTGTTTCGATCAACATTTGAAATCATACGTTGAATTTCTTCATCGGGTAATTGAAATTTTGGTAAAATTTTTTGTAAAACTATTTTTAATTCATTTTTATCAATAAATCCATCCTTGTTTGTATCAAACATAAGAAATTCTTTTTTTAAATCTTCCTTTGGATTAATTGATTTATCTAATCAATAGAAAAATATTAGATTTTATTTAAATAGAATTTTTTTCAAACTTACTAGTCGAAGCAGACATTTGTTTTCTTTTAAAAGTATGAGCACGGAAAAAAGAAAATGAGAAAATGAATAACGAAATGGAGAGATACAAACAATTTATTAACATATGGTCACAGATGTTTTTTTATTATTCATCATTATCTTTAATAAGCTATGAAGAAATAATAAAATAATGTTTCTTTTATAACCATAAAAAGATGAGTAAGATATTGATCTTTGAATTTGATACCCGATGGTGTCATTTTTTGGGTACTGGATATTGTTTTTCCATAAAATTTATCATTGTTTGGAGATATTTTCTATAATTATAATGTAAAATAAATGATGAAACATTATTCATCATTGCACATCTGTTATAAACGAAAGTAAGAATCAATTTCTAATGGATACGCACAAAATAATTCTATTACAAAGACACGCCTAAAATTTCGCCAACGACAGTAAGACGATGTAAAACCGATCAACAAGATTTAATTGCAACGAATGGCGTTCATGAAACTATTCCGGTAAGTGTTTATATACAATGACTTTGATTATATCAAAATCACCTAATTTCTTCAAAATATTATGTAATATATGGATCTGAACAAACAAATAACCTACACCGATATCAAAATGTAAACGTGGCAAAGTATCTTTATCAATATTCTCCTCAAATTCGTATGTATCTGAATTGCTTGATTTTATGATAAGATTTATGTCATTAAAATCTTGACTAATAAGGCAAGATATCTATAAGGGTGTGAATATTCTACATATAACTATGCGTATGAGATGTAAGTATTTATGTGATGATATTAATTATATGCTTTACTATATCACCATTATACTTTATTCACTTCAATGACAAATGCAAAAATAAATTAGAAAAATACAAACAACACAACTATCAATTCGTAAGAAATTATTTTATCTCAAATGCTATATCCAATTGATTTCTTTAAGGAGTTTTTAATTCGAATTAAATCTTCACTATTCATAGTAACTCTTCATATGTTATGAGTGTATTGCATCTACATCAAATTACTGAAGTAGCTAAGAATGACAAAGTTCATAAAGACTCATTGCAGAATATTTTTCGATGAATAAAAACATACCTTATTCTTACTTTACAAAAGTACTGAATGTCTATCAGGATATCGAACAGT